TGTTTATTATTAGTTAATAATTCTTTCAAATTTCAAGCAATTTTCTCTGGTATAATCCTGAAACTAATCATAGCAGTATGATGACATACCATCACAAAATTTAATGCAGATATTTTTAGCTTATGTATACTGCTAAATAAATATAAAATACCTCAATTTATTTGAAATTACCATTAAATATATTTCTATCTGTTTAGCTGTTAAATGTCTGCAAAAAAGGACTTTTTAATCCAGATTAGGCAGATTCTCAGTCTTCAGTGGAGAAAACAACTCCTAAAAACTAAACTCAGTGGCGTAACAGCCCTAATGGGGCCAAGGCCTGCAGTGCCCGAAATCTGCTTTCTTGACTGTGGGCCCCGGGGTGCGTAAGCATATGCCCTGAACAAGTAGTCAGCTTGTCGCAGAACCCCCAATATTTAGTCCCCAAGTGAACTTGGTACTCATTTTATCGACCCAAGTGATGGAAATCAAGGGATGAAAAGGCTGAGTCAACCTTGCCCAGCCCGAGAATCGAACCCCGGACCTGTGATGCTGCTGCGCGATGCGCTAGCCACTGCGCCACCAGGCCTTGAAAACAACACCTATTATGGTCATAATAGTAATGCTTTGGGGATTATATGTAATCGGAAATTTTTATGAGATTTCCTCTCATTTAGAGTCACCATGTGAGCTTTCCTACAGTGTTTTTGTGGATGATCACAAAAGATGCATTTAGCCTTTTCGTGCATGGATGAAATAAGAGCTGAAGCAGAAGGGCTTTTATTTCTTGAAGTATCAACTTCTATTTTAACCTTAACTTGAGTTCCAAAACGAGCCAAATTTATCATTTCTTTACCATTAACTTCTTGCCTTAAACAATTTAAATTTTATGACCTTCTTAAGGGATCCTTAACAGTTTTCAACAACCTCATTGTTGTTATTAGAAAGGTTGAACACTTGGTATATATCTTAAGCTCGCAAAACATCAGGAAGACAAAACTCAACAAGAGGAGAAAAGAAATATGGAAACTATTCTTTAGTCTAAAACTAAAGAGTCTAAGATAGATTTTAGTATAAAATATCTGAAACTCATAAATATGATTCTAGTTGATCATATGAAGTAATCAAATCTGTACGTTACCTACCACTTACAGCATTTTCATTACAATTGTGAGTAATTCACAAACATACACTTGTACTAATAAATCTTTTCTGCCAAATCTTTCTTTCAACAATTCAGTTGTTTTAGGGTAATTCTAAAGCATAGAGGGGGGGCTCTCTATTAAACTGGCAGCTGAAGACCTAGGAATAATCACCTGAATAAAATATTGGAACTTATCTTCATCCTCATGAATATTTGGAAAACTGACTCCAAAATCCCATAAAGGATTTAATATCTCCATTAAGTCTCTGAATTTCCAATTTTGGCAACTGATACTTTCTATTACTTGGCTCTTGAATTCATCTGTCATCAGAATTTTTTTGAAAATTTTCATCCTTTAAATTAAGAAAGGTACAGTTTTCTATAATTTTTAGCTTCACTGAAATCCTTAATGTACTCCTTTTCTTGTTTTTTGTCACCTTCTGCAAGTAATAACTCAGAAATTGCATGTTGAAAACTTTCTGAGCTCTGGAATTTATCATGTAGCTATGAATTCAATTTGCAAAGTGTTCACTTGTGTTTTCATAATTTCTTTGGCAATAACCTTTGTCATATTCATAAATGTTGTGGATAAAGTTTTACGTTGTAACTTCAAAGCATCCATAATAAAATACCAAAGCTTATGAAAAACTAAAAGCACAAATATTTAACATTTAAATTCAAATTGCATCTTGTTTATTTTGCAGTTACTCCAATTTCTTTCACGTACACCACTTAATTTATCTCCTCAAGAGAAGTAACACATATGGTTCTTAGAGTCTAACTAAATATTTGATTAAACAATATATAACTAAATATTTGATTTCGTACGAGGACACTTTTACTAACTTAAAAGTTTGAGACAAGGTAGTCACAAAACATTTTTCTCTATATTATAATATGCCGTGCTTTCATTTAAGTTACTAAATATTATATCTCCTCTCCCCCTCAGCAGGCAATACTTTTTTGACTTCAGCTCTTTCTAATATCTCCTTGTGGAGTAATTTCTGAAAAAAAAAAAAAAAAAAAAGAGTACTTGGTGTGTTTCCTTTCAGAATTTCGTTAGAAAGTTTTCAGACTAGGGTGACAGCAAGGCTTGATCAGCAATTGAAGATGTTAGGCCATTTTCTGAGTTGCTTTGAATTCATGAAATTAGAATTATAACAAACAACTAATTATAACACAAGTCTTTAGAACCTTTTGCTTAAGCATGAACATGCACTGTACTTTGCAGTGTTAATAAAGGTACTTTGTAGCTAAGCTCCAAGAGAAATTGCATGGCAGAGGCTTATAGGTTGGAAATAATAGATAAAATATCTACCATAAATATAGTTTGTCCATGACAAGAAGAGCCTTGACCTCATCTGCTAGAAAGAGGGATCATTTCACTATAGAATGAGACACATAGAAGCCATCCAAAATTGCAGTTGTGCTCTGTAATCTCATTTTATCTAAAGATAGATAGGGATGCAGACATGGCTAAGTCTTCTCTTGATGGGCTGTCTGTACTGTAAACCAGTAGTCACAAGAATGATCCCAGTGACCAAATATTATCCCATGAATGAAAAGCATAAATTTGTATACCTCCATTTATTTTAATAATGTTTATATCTTGGACTTAGTACTGTATAAGTAAATGCTGCTTTGAGAACAGTTACTCTTTTAAACATTACCTATTTTTGAGGTGGAAGATACTATATCTATTAAATATCAAGGTATAGAACCTATTTATATGTTATAATATAAAAAGTAATTGTGTCAATTAGCCAACATTAATCCTATGTTCTGTAACCATTGTATACTAGGTGCTATTGTAAAATATGTACCGTAAGTGGAATTGCATTATAATAAGCAGGCATATATAGTATACCCTTTCTAAAATGACCATTCATGGCTTTGGTTTTCTGTGAAAAATGTTATCTTACAGAAAATTATTATGCATAATGGCCAGTGATTTTTAATTAATGGACTTATGTTAATGGTTAAAGAAAAGTATGCGAACCAGGTGTATTTGTTAATTACTAATGTTTTGTATTTTTAAAAACGATATATATATAAGCATATTTTATGCATTAAGGAAATGAAATTACAAGCATTCATGCATTGAGTTTTCAAACTTGAAATAAACTTAACCGAAATTACGTCAAAAGCAGGTATAAACTACCTTGATGCCTTCAAATCCTTGATTTATTAAACTTTATTAATTGCATAGACAGGAGTTAGGTTTAATACAGTCAAAAGTCGTTAACTCGGACACTCATAATCCGGAATGATCATAATCCGGACCTCAAAGCTAAAAACTTTCTGCGCGTGCGCCGCGTTGACACATGCGCATAGGTGTTTACGCATGCGCGTAAGACCTTTTACAACTGCGCATATGCGTGTGCGCAAGTGCAGAATACGTTTTCGCATGCGCGTTTTATGTATAATGGACGGTATAAGCTAAAATTATCTAATTATCTATTTCAGTTAATGTTGATGATTGCGTTGTTCCTTAATCTTCGAATTGGATCCGGCTTATTATTTTTTGCAGACTGTAAGAGCAATATTATAAAAGTAAACTTGAACTTTTGATTATGTCAAATAGAATTTCCGATTCTGGAGATCCCAAAGGATCGTACAAAACGAAAGTATGTTCTATTCCATCAAACAAAAAGTGGAATTGCTGCAAAAAATGGATAAAGACGTGAAGAATGTGACAGAGAGGTTAGTGAAATGAAAAAATTTCGATTGACAAGTAGTCGGTAATTCGGCACAGCAATTAACGGGACTTGAACAGCGGAACTTTTAACTGAACAGAAATTATGTCTGTTATAGAATTAAAGAGAAAGTATTAGCACATAAAACAAAGCAACTTAAACAACTTACATAAAAGAAATGTTTAATAAAGTAAACAATAAATATTAAGCGTTTTTTTTTTTTTAAATTTTGATACCCTTTAGATCATAATTCTTATTTCATAAATTACGGTTCATATTTTAATTTTGTAATTTCTGCATGCCATCTTACCAGATTTAAACTGATGATCTATAATCCAGAAAAATCGATAATCCAGAATCGCCGAAGTTCCGACGAGTCCGGATTAACGACTTTTGACTGTATTAACATTTCAGGACTATAACATAAAATTTGAAGAGTGTTGTATGACAGTCAATGTGATAAATTAATTATATGACGCTGAAAGAAGGATAAAATTAAAGCTTTGGAAATACGTTTGATGGTTATGTTAGAAAAGATTATCTTATGGAAGAAAAATTTTAATTCTCAATGCTGATGCTTATTTATTTAATATACAATGTAATATTTTCTTAGTTACTAGAATTACTGGTCAGTTTTAGAAGTGGTAACAATGAGAGAGATGTTTGCATTTAAAATATCAGAAATTATAAATAATCAAGCTCATTTATATGTGTTTTAGTTTAAAATATATTTTGTGAAATAAGTTCAAGTAATTTTTTTCCAGTTCTTTTAAGTAATGTGATGAAAATGTATGCTAGGTGTTGATATATTACTTTGTTCATCATGTGATTCTGAAAATCATTTGATAGGAAGCAGGCATAAACTTGCATCTTAAACTCAGACTTGAAAATTTGTGTATGCATATGAATCATAGCTCAGATTCAAATAATTTTTCTTCAGATTTCTCTCAAGCTCGTGCTTCAGATTTCGTTTTGATCTTTACAATTCTGATCTTAAAAGAAAACTTCCTAGGTATTGAGTAATGTTTTCTTAGTTACTAATTCAGGTGAATGTAAGAAAAATGCTGCATTACAGTTTTGATAATCCTGTCTCACTTTCTGATAATGCTTGTTCTTACAATTTTTGTTCTTCTGATATGTATCTAATTTAATTATTTTCCCCCTCTTGTTTTATGTTTTAGGAATAGCAGTGCTGCTACATCTGCTCTTCGAAAGCCAGCTGTGTCTTTGGGTGATAGTACAGATCTACGTATAATTTTAAATGTTTTGTATACTTTTGTTGAAGTTATGCGTGTTCCTTGTGAATCTGATACTGATGAAATGAAGAGATGTCGAGAAAATTTTCATAAAGAGATTGGTATGTATATTTCAAAAAGTATGCTTATGTAATTCAAGTATCAAAACGTAATATTTCTGAATTTTGATCAGAAGGTTTGTATTTTATGCTGCACTACATGCTATTTCATTCTAAATTTTTACTTTTTTTAAAGCTTTGCCTTTGTTTGGAGAGGATTTATTAGCTCATACACTATTCCAAATGGTAACAAGGTTCTGCAGTGGTAGTGCTCCACATTTTCCAGTTAAGAAGATTTTACTCCTTTTATGGAAAACAATTTTGGTTTGTTCTTTTCTATTGTTTATTTTCTTTACATTTCATAAGTCTTCTCATGAAAGTTACTGATTAACATAATAAAAGAAATTACCTTGGTGACTAAAAATGTGTTATCTTCTGTGATTTGCATCAGGAAGTACTAGTACTGTTGATCAAGTTGAAAAACTTTCGTTTGCACTCTATTGGTTGTTATATGTGGACATGAATAATATGCATCGTGACTTAATCATTGCCATTTATATGAGCATGGGAGACCAGTTTGTTTCTCCAAAAGTATCATTAATATTTAGTCGTGGTTTAATTCCTTGCCAACTGATCAGATGAATAGCAATATATTTCAAAAATTTGTTTATGCATCATATTTTAGTATTTATGATTGCAGAGCAAAAATGTCCCAGAATTAACCTTTGCACATCCTAAAAAAATAAGAAGACAGAGGATAAAATTATGCAAATGGAAGTATTGCAACAAAGAGATAAAATCAAAAGGTGCAAATGTGAAGAAGTCATTTAATAAACTTAAAAAAAAAAAAGAAAGAAAGAAAAGCTTTTAAAATTATTTATCAAGGTATTCATTTTTCAAAACAATTCTCATCATAATACTATACTCATTTTTTATTCTTGGATATGCATATTTGTGCGTGTTGCCATATATGACATATCCAAAGGCATGGAGTTGACTTTGTCATGAGACTTGGTCTCACAAATACTCGCACATTCAATTTCTTTACTACTTACAAAAAGTCTTCCTTAATAAAGTATATTTTTGCATTATTTATGTTTCTTCTAATGTAAGACACTTTTATTGAATAATACACTTAAATTCATTTGACTTTAAAAGTAAATAAAACAAATGCATTTATATAATTGTTAGTGAATTTCACTTCTCTGTCAGCCATAATGTTATAAATTATTTTGAAGAAAGCTTCAGTTTCAATGGAAACATTCAGATATCTCTTGAAAAGAAATTAAAATCAATTCACATGTAAAAATACATGTTGTGAATCTGAAAAAAAAAAAAAAAAACTCTGAATGTTCAGTAGAACAAAATGAAATGTTTGTGATACATATGAGCAGTATCTTTAATACATGGAGCAATTGCATTATCAGCAGTTGTATGGATTTTATGTAATATTCTGTGAGATGCTGTAAGTGCATTTTTTATTGTCTGTTTTAGTTGGTGATAGATGGGATTTTGCATTAGGACTCAGACAGACATTGAAAAACATTTACAGTCAAAAGTCGTTAATCCGGACTCGTTGGGACTTCGGCGATTCCGGATTATCGATTTTTCCGGATTATAGATCATCAGTTTAAATCTGGTAAGATGGCATGCAGAAATTACAAAATTAAAAATATGAAACCGTAATTTATGAAATAAAGAACAATTATGATCTAAAGGGTATCAAAATTTACAAAAAAAAAAAGCTTAATATTTATTTGATTACTTTGTTAAACATTTCTTTCAATGTAAGTTGTTTAAGTTGCTTCGTTTTTTATATGATGATACTTTCTCTTTAATTCTATAAACAGACATAATTTCTTGTTCAGTTACAAAGTTCCGTTGTTCAAATCCTATAATTGCTGTGTCGAGAATACCGACTAATTTGTCAATCGAAATTTTTTCGTTTTCAATAACCTCTGAGTCACTTTCTCCACTATCGGAAGCGAATTATAATGACGAGGAACTTGATCTAAATCATATCAAAGACCGAGTACATCGAGATGAAATACTACATTTAGTAAAGAATTATAAGCCAAATAAAATAAAAACATCTGCCCTGAAGATAAGGATAGAGCTGACAGATCAACTTCCAATTCATTGCGCGCTGTGTCGTTTCCCCCACCCCCCGCAGAGCAGCGCGAAATTGATAAACAGATTTCGGAATGGTTAGAGAAACATAAGTGTGAAATTGATAAATAGATTTCGGTTTTCGAAACATACTTTTGCTTTGTAGATCCTTTACATATTAGTAAATATATATCGGAAATTCTATTTGACATAATCGAAAGTTCAAGCTTACTTTTATAAAATTGCTCTAACAGTCTGCAAAAAATAATAAGCCGGATCCAATTCGAAGATTAAGGAACAACGCAATCTGCAACGTTCACTGAATTAGATAATTTTAGCTTAGCTTATACCGTCCGTTATACATTCAATGCGCATGCGTAAACATATCATGCGCGTGCGCACACGCATATTCGCAGCCGTAAAGGTCTTATGCGCACGCATAAATGCCTATGCGCATGCCTCAATGCGACGCATGCACAGAAAGTTTGTTGCTTTGAAGTAGGGATTATAGATCATTCCGGATTATGGGTATCCGAATTAACGACTTTTGACTGTATTTCTTTTTGTTTTTAATTGGAACATTTGGTTTCTAAGTGATGTAGTGCTGTTGAAGGGGTTGTACTTCTGTTTGATAAGACCTTCCCATGTCTTGTGCGATGAAAATGTCCTCATCTCCTATGAATGAAAATTCGTACTTTAATTATTGATCCCAGTATTTTTGTTCTGGGAAGGGGAACCAATATTTGGAATTTTCTTACTAGTTCTGTTATCTTTTACACACCCAGTGATTCATTGGAAGTGCTTGGCACAGATGAGAATTATAACTATTGTCTACTATAATTTCAATTCTGAACAAAGATCTGCTTTTAACCCCTTATCTGTCTTTATACATTATATTTAATTCATGCATAAAAAATTTAAACAAAACTCCATCAGTATACTACTTTGACTGTTGTAAAGAAAGAGAACTGCATTACTCACTTCATGATTTACTTACTGCTAAAAATATCTACACTCATGTCCATAAATTAAGGATAATGCAAAATCTGGCAAAGGAAGAGTTAGAAGCAAAACAAATTTGACTCATTTGTAAAGCTTATTTATTAAACAAAAGGTAAAGAGCAAAAAAAGGTTCTATATGTATGATATTATTAAAAAAATTAGCAATTTTTTCTCCCTGGAGCAAATTACAAAAAAAAAAAAAAAAAAAAAAAAAACCCTATTTACAAAAACCAATATTACATTGTTGGTATGATTGTTAATACATTGTATGTCTCCCAGACGATGTAATACTGTCCGTACAATGCCTAGGCATGCTGAGTATCAAATTATCAATCTGATCTTGGGGGATATTACACCACTCAAAAAGCAATGCTCTCCGAAGTTCCGGTAGACATGTAGGAGGAGGTTGACAGGCTGCAACTCGTCAGCCAAGAATGTCCCACACGTGGTCTACTGGATTCAAGTCCGGTGAGAATGCTGGCCAGTCCATACAGGTGATATCCTCTGATTGAAGGCATTCGCTTACGATGTTTGCACGGTGAAGACGGGTGTTGTCATCCATAAACACAAATTGTGCGCCCATGGCGCCCCGAAAAAACATACATGTTATTCCAGAATGATGTCCCGATAGATTTGGCTTGTCATGGTTCCAATTTGAACATGCAGGTCAGTCTGGAACTCGGAATAATTCCACCCCAAACGAGCACTCCTGCACCACTGTGACGGTGTCGTTCTATGATGTTTTCTTGGTGGTAGCGGGTACCTGGAGCTCTCCATATGAAAATCCAGCGACAATCAGACTGCAAACTAAACCTGGACTTGTCGGAAAACATCACACAAGCCCACTGTTGCGGTGTCCACAATGATGCTCTCTACTCCAGCCTAAACCGCAGGCGACAATGAGTTGCAGTAAGTGGAACGCATCTGACAGGTCTACAAGCATATAGACAATCTGCCCTAAGCGTCTGTATACGGTTGCCTTGAAATGTCGTACCAGTGGCTGAAAGAGAGCTGACGAGACAGGTCGGAGGCTGGCTCCGCCTGTTTCTTTTGGCAGTAATGCCAAATACGGTCCTCATTCGTCGTTGTAACTCTGGGGCGACCTGTGCTGTAACGTCTACTCACATTACCATCATCTTGGAATTGTTGCTAAAGCCTGGAGATGACACTCTGGGCAATTCCAAGTTCGTGTGATACTTCCAGTTAGGTACGCCCACATTCCAGACGGCCAATAATTCTACCACGTAAAAAATCATCCAAATGCATCCTTTGTGTCATAACTATTTGGTTATTGCACTGAAATGCTTATAAAGTGCCTGCAAACAATTTTACTTCTTTGCCTGTATTCTTATATATCACTCTCTTACACTGTCATCATAGTGACGTACCGTCGGTGTCATCTGGTTACTTCCTGAAATTTGCATATGATTCTTGAAGATGTGTGTAGTGATTTTACAGGTGATATATTTATTTTAGAGTTCGATTTCTGCGTGAATCCGAATTATGCTTAATTTATGGACATGAGTGTAATATGGATATCTATCTTAACAGGTGGGTCAATTTGTAACTGATTATTGTATTATTTTATTTTGTTATTTATTTTGGTTGGTAATGGTTGATTTTAGAAATTTTTGCCATTACCTTTCCAGTTTATGCAATGACAAGTTTACACTTTCTAAATACTTTGATTTTTTTAACAGCATTTATTATTATGTTTCACTGTTTTGTGTCGTTATTGATCATTTTTTCATGTCTGTCTGACTGAGCTGTTACATACCTTTAGGTGTATCCATATCACAGGCTGGGAACTGCTTAGTCAACTGGTTAGCATTGCTAAAATAATTAAATGTATAGAAAAGTATTTAACACTAATTTTATGTGAAATGGTTGTCTTTTCATATACATCACTTTTAAGAAATATTATAGAAAGCATTGCAAAAACGTCGTCTGGGATAGCTGTGTTAGTAAAATTCCTGCATTGCTGCAATACCTATTCATTTATATTCAAATTGTGAAGATTGCATTTTTTATGTCATGGATATTATGTATAACACTATCAAATTTTGTTTTCAGGTCTCTTTAGGTGGAACTGAAGAATTACGGAAATTGAAATCAAAATATCGTACCGAAGCAGGTCTACCACCTGTACCAGATGATACCATTGAAGTTACAAGAACGATGAGAGCAGCATCACCTCCTGCTTCTGCAGCTGACCTGATTGAAGCACAGCAGCAGAGAAAGAATAATAGACCTTTCAAAAGAGTAAGCTTATAATGTAGTTCCATTCTTAAAATAATGTAAATAAAAATTCCTGGCAGCAATAGTTTGTAAGATTCTAGCCAATTTAAAATTATTTGTAAGGCTAGGTCTTAACTTGAATTGTTAAGCAACTATTCGTAAAGTTCAACTTGTATTAGTAACTGCACATAACAAGACTGAAAAGACCCTTTTATTGAATTCAAGAACAATATGAACAGACGTCACTCCTGTTGCTTACAAGGCTTCATTATTACTTTTGGCAGCAACTCAAAACAGAAAAAGTAAAATTAAAACTAATCCTAAGTTGAATAAATCAGGTGTGAATTATGTATGAATTTATTAAGTGCATGGATATTGAAGACGAATCACAGATGTATCCTTACTTTTCCAGTTTGTCGTTTGGCCTTCTTTCTATAGAATATTTAGGAAGTATATAAAATGTTTATCATTTCATACGTTGTTGGCCAGTTTTCGGCATTCTATAAAATACCTGTCTATTTTGTAGCATGCCAGCTTTCAAAATTTGCCAGTGATATATTCTATAAAATATGATATTTTTAGTCAGTATTTAATAACTTCAGGTTTGCTAGCCAAGTGAAATTAAAAGAAACTAAAATTATGCATGTTTTTCAGCTCATTATGTACTGAGATATGAAATGTAAGAACTTTTGCTATTTTATTGTTTAACAGGAGCAGTTATAGACATCTGAAATAATTACCAAAATAATGGAAAGTCTTAGCATTTTCTGTATATGTACTTCATATTCATGAAGTAACTAGCACTCTACCCTTCAAATTATGGGTACGTACGTTTCTGTACTGTTAACCTAACTGTAGTTAAATTTAAAAAGCAAGTTTTCAGACTTTTTTTATATTGAAAGAGGATAAATTCAAGTAGTTAATATTGACTTAATACTTGTAGTTAATAATGACCTGCTTTGAAACATGTATATGTGCAACTTGCAAAATATTAGGTATTTTTCGAGTTGTGGTACTAAAAGTCATAACAACGTGCAGAGTTTATGGTAAAACATCTGCAATAGTATCATGATAGTAGATGAAAGAGAATACTAAGTGAAAAAGACCAACAGGCTTTGAAGTGAATTGGGGCATTGAAAAAGAAGACAACTGTCAAATTGTCTTCATTTGGAGGTTTCAATATTGACCACTATTATCATGGCTGTTACTACATCATCAAGTGACTGTTACAAACAAATTTTTACAGCAAATTAGTAATAAAAAAAAGAGAAAAAAAGCGTAACAGATGTGAAAATGTCACCTTCATTATTGTCGTAAGCACAATCCTGGTCAATGGATGCCATTTGGTCAAGCTGATCACCTGTCCATTATTTTCCATAAACGGGGTGTGGAGAACATTTAAAGCAGCACATAATCTAGATTATCTCATGTCAAGTATGGGGCGGCTGGATTTGGCAGCCATATTCTGGTTTTTTGCAGGTCATTGTTACACTAAAAAAGTGAATGATTGCTAAAGATATTGTCAGAATTTTGGCCTACCAAGGTGATGCCTGTAATGCAACCCAGGCTAAGTCAATAACATGTTTAAATCCCTGCAAACAAACTGACTGCATGGGTATTTTCGTGGTTTTCCCGAGGAGAAACAAAAGTATTAGCTATTGTCGCTTCAGAAGTCCTTCACAAAGCTATGCCTTCCTGAAGCAAGTGGACCTATTGTGCCTTACCACAATTAGCGCAATCCAATCCATTATGTGATGGATGCAAGAGGTAAATGTTTCTAAAGTGATAATACTGTTGTCCGTGCAGCAGATATACCTACCTAGCTGTATGAGGAAGATATTGTCCTTAGGCTCCACTGTATTCCATTCCTTACTGTCATTGAACTGTTGTGGTTTGTTGTAGGAAATAAAGTTAGAAATCGAATTTACTAGTAGCGTCTTTGTAGGAATTTGCACAGTTTCTCCATAAAAGGAGTATAAACCACTATTTATGTTGTTTTGTGAGTTATCTCACTTGTCTAACAGTAACATCAAAACAAGCTCACTATTTATAGTGTATAATTCTCTTCCTAGTCAAATTCAGGGAGTATTATATGCCAAAGGTGTTTGTACTGCATGTAAAAGGAAAAATTGCATATTGTTTCCAGTAATTTGATAACCACTTATATGTCAGGTGTATTTCTGAAAGAATATGCAAAATTTCTACTTATTATTTGGCCAACATTTTTTTTTAGATCACATTGCAATAGATTTATTATGTACCCTAGAATAGTAATGCTCTGAGACTAACTGAATGATAAGGACATTTAAATTTTACATATGTGATAAATATTACAAACTTAAAGGTTATTAGCAAGAGAAACCTTTTTTTATGTTCACCTCATTTTGCTTTCTTAAAGACACTATAATATGTTGTCATCCTTTTCTTTGCAATCTACAGTATTCAAATTTCTGTAACATCTTTGAAATTTGTGTTTTAGAAGTATTAAACTTAAAGAATACTTTTGAGAGTTTAGCATGTTTCTTTTCCTATGCTGTATTAATAAAGAGTGCAACTGCAGCTTAAATTCAAGTCAACGATTTTGATTTATTTTTGTCTTTTGTAAAAAAGGTTTTGAGATATATTTATATATATTTATATCAGCTATCATATTGTAAATAATGCAGAGAGGTCACTTTTGTTTTATAGGCACTTGTAACGGCATAAAAGGTAATTAAGTAATTTACAGATATTTTAATGATTATAAATGTTCACTTTGCATATTATTGTATTATCTTTTTGTGGCAACAGGTTTCGCACTTTTAAAACCCTATGTTTTTTTAAGAGAACACTAGTTTTACTACTAGATGTGAAAAATAAAGGATTTGGTATTAATTTGGTAATATTATTTGTAGTTGAATAAAATACCATAAAGGTAGCATGTGCGTATCTGCATCTTATTACGTTGTCTTAGCAACTGTGACCCGGCTGTGTTGCTCTTCTGTCTCATGTAGATAAATGAATTACCTTTTTTATTGTTCTCAGATGCATTGAATTGGGTTCAGTTTTACAACAATTGGAAAATGATAGCTGGAAACCGGATTTTATTCCAAGAAGCTTAACCTCACACACCAAAATTACCATACATATGATTGTGAACTTGTCACAATTTATCTTTCCATTGAATGTTACAGACATTCGTTAGAAGGATGAAAATTCACGGTGTATACTGGCTACAAGCCCTTAATCTATGCATTTTCTGAAAAGCCCGCCCGATAAAGCATCTTCTTTAACCCTCTGAGGGGCCAGGGTTTTCACTAAGAAAGCACAACTTTCCCAAAACTGCTATGAGAAAAAATTATTATTATTATTTGATTTTATTGTAAAACTTCTCCTGGTATTTCATACCTGGATTTGTTTTCTTTTGATATATTGCCTTAATTTCTTTGACATATATTAATATGCATGTATATAAACGTTCTTACAGGTATCACAAAAAATATTCTATCTTGCTGCTTAGAGGGTTAAACAGTTTTCCCTTCAATCTGGGGAAAAAACTATGATGTGATACTTCAACACAGCATATTACACTTTATGTACCTAAGAATTATCATATGAAAATAGTTCATCAATTTCAAGGATTATCATATCTTGGAATTAAACCAACAATAAAATGAATCTCTTCAAAATTTATTTGGTCAAGTATCAAGAGAGATGTTCAGCATTGGAGGAAATCTTGTATTCCATGTCAAAAATCTAAAATATCCTGGCATACAGAATAAATATTTGGGAATACAGTAGAAGTCCAGAAATTCGCAAAGTCCGCTTTCTCCTCCTCTGGTCGGGACCAGAGCTTATGCAGATTTTAGGATTTTGCGTATTTCAAGGCAGAAAGATAAATCATAATATTCAGACTAAAACTGCAAAATAAGTAGGGCATAGTAGATACATTTAATTAAATTATTATATACATTATTGCAATAATTTATTATATGCATTAAATTATTATTACATATGTATAAATTGATTATATTATTCATTGTATTATATGTACACAGCATCAAGATTTCCCCTCATGCAAAGATTTCCTGTTTCGGATTCCAGTGTTAGAATCACTATAGCTATAAAATTTCAACAGCTTTTCTTTATTTTTCCGTATATTATACGCAATCGTATCGCAATTCCATATGATTGTGCTATAAAATGCACCTTGCACTTTTTGCATTACCATCAATGCAACATGTTTACGTTTTTTCAACGTTGCAAGCATTGAAATCATGAGTGCATATCTGTAATTGTATGAAATTTAAAATATTCTTAATTTATCCACAAGATATCCAAATAAAAAAAAGGCAGCACTAAATAATGTCATGAAATAACAAAGCTTAGAAAATACAACAACGTGAATCGAACTTGAAAGAAGATTTGAGTGAATCATCTGCTTTCTTACCTCGATGCAGAGATTAGAGAAGAAAAAACTTTTATCACGATGTCAATAATTGGGTATTTCCGTTATGACTCATTATTATTCGGTAATTATGACGTCATTATTCGGTAAGTATTTTTTCTTCGATATTTCGTACTCAGTGTTGTGGTTTCTAGAACCTATAAACCGAATGTTTATATTTTGAGAGGCAATGCGAATTTCAGGAGTTGGCGGATTTCAGGTTGGCGAATTTTCGGTATTTGACTGTATAGATCAATAAGCATTGAGGGGTTAAAATTTTGAGAGTCAATGTTTTGAAAACTACTCATGTGATTTTTTACAAAACTTGGCAGTTTAGCATAATTTCAGCCGTAGAATCGAAATATGGAAAAAAATTGGTGTGTCATTTCAGAAAAAGTCCGATTTTTTTTGTCAAAATACCTATATTAGAACAATGCTATATATAAATCTAATACATATCCTATGTCACACTTTTGAGACATGAAAAAAGCAAATTGAATTTCATCAGTCGGCCTTCTAGAATGGGAGATATGAGACTGTACCTTTTTTTTTTTTTTTAGCCCAAAGTGCTATTAATTGGAAATGTCCCTTTTTTTTTTAGCCTGAATGGCATTAGCCCAGAAGGTCTATTAATTTTATTTTGCGTTGGCTCACTATAAATGTCAGTTCACTTTTCAAATTGTTGCCACCAAATATTAGAACCCTGTGTTATATTTAAAGAAATTAAATAATGAAGAATCTGCTTAAATGTATGTATATGCTTCTGCTTAAATGTATGTATATGCTTCTTGTATTGTGATAAAACAACGGTACCTAAAACCATCAAATTTTGAATAACGTATTTCTAGACCCGAATATGAGCATCTGGAAGCCCGAATTTGGAATTTGAAATATTATCGATCTTATATTTTGTAACATCTTCGTAACATGTTTGATTAACAAACTCAACGATTTCAAAGCAAGCAATGGCAACACCATATGAGGGAAAAAATTATCTCCAGTGCACAAGATTGTTTATTGGAAAATCTAAAGATAAAATTATTTTGCAATATTGCTGCTGGATTTTATGGTTTAAGTGTGAAGAACATGATATTTAATAAATAAAGGTTACATGCTAAACGTTAAGAAAGCACCCCTTTGGGCATAATGTAAAATCTGAAAGCTTTCAGTTCCCCCTCCTCCCCCCACAGTGTTGTTTTCTTGAAAATGGACACCAGACACTGGCATTTAGCAGCATGTTTTTAACACTTTTTAAAATCATTTAAATAGATTTTAGTGGTTATGCCATTACAAAAAGCACACACTGTTGTTTAGTTTCAAGATTTTCATGATTCAAGATCACTTTTTGTTTTGCGGGAACTCATCTTTTGATAAATTGCCAATTTAACTCGCTGTTGTCATTGGGAACCTTTTTCTTCTCACAGTGGATTATTTTCAGCTCCATTCATTGTATTTGAAATCTGTTATTTAAAAATGTGTTTAAGGTATATCCTAGGACATATCTCTTGATGCTAAAAATGTCTAGACATTTTACCCAGTTCACAACAAGATTATAGTCCATCTGCCTTTCTCCTAGACTCGCACAATAGCTAGTGGTATGTGGTGGTTTTTCATTCCCAAAATAGCTATTAAAAAAAAAAAGGCAAATAGATTGTTGTTTAGATTAAATGTATTTTATACTACTGGTTTTATCTTCCAAAGTTTGATTAATTTGTAATTTATATTTTTTTAGCAAACCTTAGTAAAGCAGAGTAGTATGGATGATTCAATGGCATTTCAAGACCTTGAAAGTGATAGTGGAACTGATGATGAATTGCGTTATATTGAAGAGCATCAAGCTGTTGAAGAAGAATATCGACCCCCAACTCCACGACCGTCCACACCTTTGCCTACATCTCTTTCTGATCATGGCATAATACCTCAAAATAAAGGGCTTCCTTGGGTTCCAAAAGTTCGGCCAAAAGATATAGATAGCTTTTTAGACCATACTCGCATGAAGTTTGTGGGTTTTCAATTGAACAATGATCAGACATCTCTAGCTGGTTTGCCTCTTCCTATTCATGAAGGTCTTAAAGTTTTAAAACAGGTTCAAATGCATCATTTTTATTTTTATAATTTTTTAGATAGTTGGAACATAATTTGAAAGTGGTTATTTGTATGCCCCCTTCAATTTGATTTTCACTATAGTCAGTAGTTATGTGTAGTATGTGATTATTTTTATAAACAGACAACTATATTTCTGGAAATATTGTACATATTATTATACATCCGTATTCTTAAAGTTCTAAAATAGTGAATTTAAATCACAGGCATATCTCATAACATTGCATTAAAAGTAGACATATGAACTTCTTTCTCAAAATGTCTAAAAATTGTATTTACCCTGTGTGTGCTATAAGTATTAAAGCTGTTTTGCTTTCTAGCCATATCTCTTGCTTGCAGAAATAGTGGTTTTAATTTTTAGTTGTGTTCAGAACTTGATTGCTAGACATACGAGTACTGGTTTTTAGTCTTTCTCTTTGTAAGCTTAATAATTTAATTGTTTAAATGTTTAATTACATTTGATTTTAAATATGCAGTGTGTGACTTTTGTTTATGACACTTGAATAGTTATTCACAGTACTAGTTTTCATGTAATTTTAATGCAAATTTTGAAGTAATGGGAGAATTAATAATCTTATACATTAAATGTAGGTGAAATGTGGAAATGTTGCGGGAAAGAAATGAGATATCATCTAAACAGTCTTTTGATGACAAGTCGCAGATCACTTTAAGGCCCTTGATATTTTTATTACTTGACCTAATTTCTGAAGAAAGTCTTACAAATTTCCAAAATTATGATAACTACTAGAATGTGAGGGAGGGACATAAAGGTTATGTGATTACTGAAGTGGCACTGACTAGCTTACTCTGTGCATCATTATAGACAAAGGTGATACATGTGAAATGCTGTACAATGAAATATGCTTGTAATTATTTTAAATCTGCTTTATCAGATTTTTTAATTTATATCTATGCATTTGGGTGAAGAATCCTGAATTGTGAATACTGTTGCCCCACTAATGGTTGAGTGGTTAAGATCTATGAACACATGTAGTTCGACATTAGTTTTAGCCCAGATGAATGGGCTGGCTGCAGGGTCGGTTTTTATCATTTTCCTCATGTGGAAAGTGAGTGCGAACTAGTTTTCTTTAGAAAGTCCTGGCCAGACATGTCTTGCAGAGACTACTTGAGTTATGTGCATCAGTTTAGCTCTTACATCGTAATAATGCACTTTCTCGTGTTATCAATATTGTTGTTCAATATTTGGCTTAAAAGAAAAGTCAGAAATTTGTTGCAACCTTCATATAGTCCAGATCTAACTTCATGCAGCTATATATTTTATTCTGTAATCTAAAATCAGAGCTTTGAGACCAGTTTCGATTCATCAGTGGCTGTGTTAAATTAGACATGCATTAAAGAGAATGTTGAAAGATAGAAGAGGAAAGTAGGTTGGTCAGTTGTATAGCAATTAGTGGTGATTGTTTTGAAGAGGACTTTATCACTCAGCCTAATATAATTCAAGATTAGTTAACCCTTTGACTACTACTGGGGCATAAATGTCCACTAAAAGTTAAAAAATTACTGCTAGTTTAAAAGGTACTTAGAATATCCTGAATGTTGGGGATCGTCTTCCAATAGTTGGAAAATCAAAATGCCACTGGTCTCGCTGTGTGCAGATGAACATAGAGAAAAAAACAAATATAAGTTCCCAATGTATAATGTTGGGTTATGTGGGTTATGCAAAGAGTGCTTTACCCCTGTACCATACAATGTAAATCTATTTCATATAATAAAATTTTCCAGAATAATAGGTGCTTATAGTAAGCTATATGTGGGACTTATGTATCCCACCATTAACTACAGCTGGGACATATGTATCGCAGCCTTTGCCGTGAAAAGCATTTGTCAAAAAATCCCAAATGCTAAATTTACCTTATTTATGACATATTTTGTTCACGTTGATAGAAAACGGGATATTTTTTAATTAGTAGTCAGAGGGTTAAATTCATTTTCATTCTTCTTTTTTATACCCCCTACCCCTCATGTGATCATTTCTAATTTAAACAAAAATATTTCATTGTAATTTTAGGTTATCAAAACATTTGATTAATTTGTTTTCTTCTGTTCTGTATTAGAGTTTTGATTAATATCAGTTTATTACTTTGTAGCACGTGTATGTATCCTTAGCTGAAGTACAAATTAAACGAGAGGACGAAATATCAAAACTTCCATTGTCAAAGGTAATCAGCTTTCTATGTATACTTTTTCACATTGAATGATGATTTGTGCATAACAGTCTCTCTGCTCTTTTTTTCGGGGGGGGGGGTCATTTTTCAAATATAGAACAATAACTACATTTAAATTTTATTTGCATAGTAAATGTCTTTAAATTTTTTTAACTGCATATTTAGTAATCTGTATAATTTGAGTCATCTTAAATAACATTACAATTTCTGTCCATCCAGGGATCGTCTTTAATATGTTCGATTAGAATTTATCTGTTTAGTTCAGTAGTCTTTTAAAAAATGTTCATATCTATGGTCTTTCAAAGGTACGGTTAGTTATAATTCTACTTTTTCTTTTATAGATGGCCTTGTATTGTATTTCTTTTTCATATTTCCTGATAAATATTATAATAATATTTTTTCCGTGACTAGCAATTTATAAAAAACTCGGCTTCCTTCATCCGATCTTCTCATTTTTAAGTCAAAAAAAAATTTATACTTGAGACGTGAAGAGGAAGATGTTTTGAAGGCGGTTAATTTAAAAAAAATAGACGACTCTGATGAGAATTCAGTTTTTAAAATGGTAAATGAGAGGATAGTAAAAAATCAGTACGATGTCGACATCTTAAGCATGGAATAAAAGCTTAGACTGTTCCCCACATCAAACAAACTCTGGGAGTTAATTATTTTTTTTTTAAATTGCCAAAGAAAATTTCAAATATTATATATATTAAATATATTTAAAAGAATAAATTGAATTTAAATATAAATTTAATTAATTCTTTGCACCACTGCTGCAAGGAATGAAATTTAAATTTTAACAAACATGTAAATACGTAAAAAAGCAAATTTAAAGTTAAAATTAAAAAAAGTGCAAACATATAAAGGTTTAATTTTCCAACTTATCTACAATATCATTTAAATTCAGATAGCATAAGTAAATCAAGTGCAAAACCAAACAATGAAAATAAATTCACCAATTACCAAATTAAAATTAATCTAAAAAATTTTTTTTTAAATGCATAAATGACTGTTGAGCAGGCAGGAGACAGACTTATCAAGGGGAAGTTGCCTCCAAACCTAACTCTTCAATCATTCAGTTCGTGTTTTGTCATTCATTCAGGCAAGGGTAAAAGTCAAAACCAAAAGTCAATACATAGTGAAGAATGTCCATAAAGAAATACCAATAAAATGGTGCCCTGAGAAATTAGCAATTAAAAATTAAAGGTCTAAAAGGAAAATAACAATAATGAAGTATTTTGAGAAATAAGCAATGTAAAGTTTAGTAATAAATTAAATTTCTTTTTTTTAATTTTCAGAAAAATTAATTTAGAAACCAATGCATTTTAGAAACCCTTGTCTACAGAAACCTCACCGACACGAATGTGCATATAAATCAAAAAGGAACTAGACATAATTTATATAAACCAATAAGAAACTAAAAAGAACTAATTCATATTTGCACAATTCTGCAACAGAACTCTCATTTAACATTACAAACAAGTTTACATTTACAGAGCAAACTTACATCTCTTGATTGGCTAACTCCCTACCATAAAAAGTTGGTCAGTTAAAATTAAAACTTGAATTACATACTTTTAGGATCTTCTTTGATTTTTTCTAGATTTATATTTTAATATTAAAGTTTACAAAATTTTTAATAAAACAAAGATAGCAGCTTGGCACTCTACTTATGTTAGTGCCATCTATATAATTTGCAGAACCCACTTACATCACTTAGGAAATACTTTTGCAGACCCCAAAGCTAATATGGTAGGTAAGTTAGAATTAAAACTTACTATTTACTTGCTTTTTCTAGATATGTAATTATATTTTTAAGTATATTTGTTTTTTATAAATTATGTCTAGTTCCTTTTTAGTTTCTTTTTGATTGATATGCATATTTGTGTCGGGGAGGTTTCTGTAGACAAGGGTTTCTAAAATGCATTGGTTTCTAAATTAATTTTTCTAATTTTTTTTTTAAAATTTAATTCATTATTAAACTTTGTGTTGCTTATTTCTCAAAATACTTCATTATTGGTATTTTCCTTTTAGACCTTTAATTTTTAATTTCTAATATCTCAGGGTACCACTTTATTGGTATTTCTTTATGGACATTCTACACTATGTATTTACTTTTGGTTTTGACTTTTACCCTTGCCTGCATGAATGACAAAACACGAATTGAATGATTGAAGAGTTAGGTTTGGAGGCAACTTTCCCTTGATAAGTCTGTCTCCTGCCTGCTCAACAGTCATTCACTTATGCATTTAAAAAAAAAAATTTAGATTAATTTTAATTTGCTAATTGATGAAATTATTTTCATTGTTTGGTTTTTGCACCTGATTTACTTGCGCTATCTGAATTTAAATGATATTGTATATTAGTTCGAAAATTAAACCTTTATATGTTTGCACTTTTTTTAATTTTAACTTTAAATTTGCTTTTTTACGTATTTACATTTTTGTTAAAATTTTAATTTCATTCCTTGCGGTAATGATGCAAAGAATTAATTAAATTTGTATTTAAATTAAATTTATTCTTTTAAATATATTCAATATATATAATATTTGAAATTTTCTTTGGCAATTTAAAAAATAATTAATTAACTCCCAGAGTTTGTTCGATGTGGGGAACAGTCTAAGCTTTTATTCCATGCTTAAGATGTCGACATGGTACTGATTTTGGTACTGATTTCTCAGGGTACCACTGTGGTACCCTGAGAAATTAGCAATTAAAAATTAAAGGTCTAAAAGGAAAATACCAATAATGAAGTATTTTGAGAAATAAGCAATGTAAAGTTTAGTAATCAATTAAATTTTTTTTAAAAATTTTTCAGAAAAATTAATTTAGAAACCAATGCATTTTAGAAACCCTTGTCTACAGAAACCTCCCCGACACGAATATGCATATCAATCAAAAAGAAACTAAAAAGGAACTAGATATAATTTATATAAACCAAATAAGAAACTGAGGCATTGTCATCCTAATGGGAAATTTTTGTTATTTCATGGTCGTTTATTATAAATTCTCAACATTTTTCTCAAATTCTGTTACCTGAAAAGTGTCACCCTCTGTAGCATTCACCAAAACTTTTCCTTTTCTGCCCTATATTTCTGTTACTGGCCCTTGCAGTCACATCTGTTTGACACTAATGATATTGCCTCTTCTGGCAAAGTTCTAGCCTCTGCTGAGGTGGCGATCTGAAAAACTATTCAATCAGCCAGCCTCTGCACATATCCCACCATGTGCTTATGCTTGCTGGCTTTTGAATTTTACTACTAAATTAAATATAATAAACTTTCGAAACGATTCCGTTTTGAGGAGTGTAAAAAAATTGCAGCGAAAATGTATGCGCAAAAGCGCCAAATCTAGCAACGCTCCCATTTAACAGCGCGTCGAATCTAGCATAAGCGCTGATTTCAGATTGCGTAAGTTTATATAGTTTTATATTTCTTAGGACGCCATTGAAATACTAGTTTAATTTTTAAATCCTATGGATTTAACAATTTGGGAATTGCCCATGACGAAAAGTCTGCAATTGAATTTTGGGTAAAGTGCAGAATCACCCACTGCTTGACGCGTTTTTAAGAATTGCACATACTCGGTATCCATGTACACAGAGACCTATTTTCACTTAAAAAGTAAAAGAAAATTGACAAGAATCCAATTGTTTTTACCCTTGTAAAGAGAGGCAAACAAATAAGTGGGCGAATCTTCACTTTACCTCACCCAAAGAGATGAAATTATGATTTACCGATAAATTGGTAGTGAAATAGCGATGCAGGCATCCATTCAGTTATGTTGAGCAATTTTTATATAAATTATAATAATGATCTGAAATAGTTATTTACTCTTATACTTCCATTCATTCATGTTTAGCCTTTTTTATATAAATTATAATAATAATAAAGTATTACATGAAATTAACCTTTCATCTAAATTAAAACATCAATCTTAGATAGTTATTTAGTATTATACTTCCTTTCTTGCATTAGGGTTGCCGCAATTATTTTTGGCAGCACGGGCATCAACAATAGTTTGGCAATTTTTTACGGTGCCCTTAAAAGCGAATAGTACCAAACTTTCAAGCTTGGTAGAATTTCTCACCTAAAAAAGTTCTGAATTGGTGGAAGCAGCCACTGTACCATCACTTCAATCATCTTGGCATTTTACTTCTTGCCGTGCATTTTTAAACATTTCCCAAATGTCAGTGTCAGTTCCTGGCTAACCCAGCAGGAAATTGCATATGCCTTTGCACCAGCTTAGCACTTGGCCTTTCAAATTTGCTTTAGCAATTGTAACTTTCTGCATTTCTGGAACAGGATACAATATGAAATGCAGATCCACTTGTTCTAGACATAACAGAACCCTTTTTATCAAAAGTGGCAGCAGATTTCATAGCGGACCATATGGTCTCGACTATGAACTCAAAACCCTGCATTGGTTAACTAGAGCCAGTGGAGCTTGAATCCTTGAAGGCGCTAAAATAAATTTTCCTCTGTTGAGCAACATGGCACATAAATTTTTTCGAGTGTCAAATGTTAAGATTCTAGCTAAATTAACTTTACTTTGCTGGCTAGATCTTTACTTGAACTGTGAAGTAACTATTAGCTAAGTTCAATTGTATCAATTACAACACATGGAAAGGGTGAAAAGACCCTTTTATTCAGCTTAAGAAAAGTATTCAAAGTTGGCACTCCTAATGCTTACAAATCTGTGTCAAATCAGTCAAAGCTGCATAGAGGTGGTTTAATGCATAGTTGGCTCTTGGCCGTACCACTGACTTAGATTAATCAGCAATTAATATGCACAGCCATAAACTAACAGGCCTAATCTGGAGTAACTCAGACACCATAAATAGTGTCTTTCTACCCTACTTTGCATATCGCGCAAAACTAAAACTCATTCCGGTTAGAAAGTGTGGCTTGAAAATAAGTGCAATAAAAAGGTTTCTTCAAAATAAAATTAACTGTTAAATAAATCCTCGCAGCTCTGTTAATTTCATTTAAATAAATGGCAGTATTAAAATGATATTTAATGTCATGAAATTTATGTATATTTTTCAGAAGTTTGGAATATCTGATATGTATTATAATATTTTCAATAAAGAAGAATGAAGTAGAAATATGCTTAACTTTTCACATAAAATACTGCATTCTTAAATTTACAAAATAAAGTGCACTTTCAGAAGCAGTTCATTCTTAAAGAAACAACATCTTTTATTTCAGGAATACAAAGTGTATTTTTTAGGTTCAAATAAATCTGATATGAAATTAATAGACTATAAATACAACACCCAAAAAATGAAAGGCAGTTGCTTGAGAAGTTAAACAGGTCATCTACAAAAGCGAATGGAGAGAGTATTATATTCGTCAGTGTGTATGAAAGGTGATTTGAATTGTTAAAATATTTAAAAGTGTCAACAATGGGATTAACAGCAAACTGCATCCATGAAGTCAGGAAGAGGGTTATTTGGATGTAGAAAATTACATGAGGGCTATCTGCCTAAGAGGAGGGATGCCATTATGGAAAATGTTTTATGGGTAGCTTACTTATTTTCACATTACACACAGAGAAATCCAGCTGTGCAATCAATCTGTTTGCCTGGGTTTGAATTTTTGGACAAACTACCAGTACTCAGCAGTTCTTAACAGCTCTGCTAATGACAGAGTTGAAGATCAATGAATTAAAAAATCATGCTAATGACAAAGAAGAAGATCAATGAATTAAAAAATCATGATAATGAGAAAGAAGATCAATGAATTAAAAAAGTGCATTTTGTACTATAACATTAAAATAACCCATATAATTCTTATTCAATTTATGTATTCATAAACATAATATTCTTACATAAAAATTCTGATAAATGCTAAATGATCATAAATTAACTTACTGGGAAAATGTAGCGAAATACAGAAAATAAGGATTTATACATGTTGAAAAATGCAAAATTTTAAATATATAAGAATATTTATACATATCTTCTTAAGAAACGTATTTTTATCTAATTAATTACATAAATGTTATTAGATTGTAAATGTATCTGAAAATGAACGATTTATTCAATCATTAACTCCTATGGATGTTATTACTATCAAGAAATCTAGTTAATAAATATATATCATGTAATGATGAACATTTAACTGTAAATATAAAATTAAAAGTAGTAATGGCATGCAAAGTGTGACACAAAAACAAAAAGAGACTGGTCCAATTGGTTCCATTGTATTTACAGAATCAGTTCCCCATAACATTATCACCTTCAAAGTAGTTCCCTTCAGCATTCACACACTTTTGCATTTGGTGTTGCCTTTGCTGGTAACAGCTCTGGCATGAAGTTTTTGGAGGCCCTTCAGGAGATTCTCCATTTTTGGCTGAATCTCTTCCGTCTGTGGTAAAATGCATTCCTTTTAAGCAAGATTTAACTTTAGGAAATAAAAAAAAAGTCTCATGGAGCCAAATGAGGTGAATCAAGAGGATGCCCCATCACAGTTATGTTTTTGCTGATTAGAAACTGCTCTACAGATAGGGCCGTGTGAGTGGGTGTATTGTCCTCGTGCAACAGCCATCCATCACTCCCCAACTGTGCCTTTTTTTTTTTTTTTTTTTTTTTTTTTGTAATTTTTTCATGAAGTCTCTTTAGTACTTCAATGTAGTAGTATTGATTAACAGTCTGACCACTGGGATCCCACTCGATCATGATGAATGTCTTCCACACTTCCCCTTCCCCCTGAAAACCATTTATGCCATTCAGACACATGTCCTCAAGACAAAGATTCATCTCCATAAGCCTCGGTTAACATTTGAAATGTTTTCTCCGTAGCTGATTTCTTAAGTTTCTCAAGAAACTTTATGTTTATTCACTGTTCGTTTTTTGCACTAGATATTTTTCTGGCAGAATTGAGTTGCACATGTTCACTCGATGATGCAGTACTCCCAACTGGTGTGATCAGTTAAATCAAAACTGGACTCATGGGTAAAGGAGGTGTGTGGCATGACACCACCAAAACAGTTGTTGCCAACTCTACTCTTTTTTCAAGCTACACAGTCTCTTTTTTTTTTTTTTTTTTTGTGCGTACACTTATAAACTATTTAAGCAAGAATTAAGGCACAGTATAAGAGATTCTATGTGTAGTGCTAAAAGTAAAGTAGAAATTTTAGTGTATTAGTTAATATTTAGTATATTGTTGAATATAAGAACAAAATTTCAATAAGTATTAAGATAATTATTTTCTTATTTTTTGTAATAATTCTGTTTCAAGTCGTAAATATGTTAATTATTTTTTTGGTTATCTCTGATTATCCACCCAACCTGAAGAAGAATCACAGTGTAATCAGTGTAATGCACTGTGGTGCCAACCTAGAAGAAGCCATGAATGTTGTGCTCGCATTATGGCAGTGCAGAATTCAACTTTTGAAATTCAACTGTTGACTTCAGTTATGACTGCTGCTTATTGTAATTAGTGTGTAGTTACAACGAACTGTAATTCTACTTTGGAGTTTGCCTGCTAATAAAAAAGTACTGTATACATAAACGTAAAACTGAAAATGGCATAAAATGGCAACAAATTAACCAAATAAAAAAACAATTGAACTTTATCCACCAGCCGTGAAAATGTAAATATAGTCAGATTTTCATTACTGTTGTTAAAGGGATAAAATGGAGCATTTTGTTAGCTTTTATTTTTCTGATGTCACAGTAGTATAGAAGTCTTACAGCTCAAAAGCGGTTATCTGTTCGTTCGTAATTGTGATGACAGAATTTTTGAAATTTTGGAATCTTATTTTTGTATTTTTATTTATTTATTTATTTTGTAATAGTAGCTTTTTCCAAATTTGTGCAATTCTGTGTTTTTTTAAAGTCAAAACACGTCAATATACGCATGGGACAGAAGCAGGAAAAAAAATGTTTTATTATGGATGTTTTTCATGTGTTTTCAATTAACTTGTTGCTATTTTGTGGAATTTCCAGTGTTTCTTGCATTTTTAATTTTGTTCATGTATTGCTGTTTTATGTAATTTTCAGTGAAACTACTGTTTTTCATTTCTGAGATTGGTGAAAAATTAGTTTCCAATGATTGGCCATTATGTAGGGGGGTTGGGTAGATAATCAGAGAAAAGTATTTTTTCCCTTATCCCATCCCTTAAGTCTCACAAAAAGTAAAAGTACTTAAAGATCAGAAATAGAAGTAATATTTAACTATTAAAAAAAGGGCTTTACTTTGAAGAGAACATTAATTATAGGATGAATATATTTGATTTAAATGGCATTTGAGATAGGCTCTGTAAATGGAAAGAAATATTTTGTGTTAATAATACAATAAAACTTTGATTTTAATTTTTGTTATCATAAATCAAATAAAAATTCCTTTCAAAGACTTGTGAAAGCATTTCAATTAAAACTATTCTAAGTGTAGGAAAGTTAAGAGCATTTAATTCAGTTTAGGTAAAATATTGTTTAAGAAAGTAATCTTTCAAATATGGAGGACTTTCAGATATTGTAGAAAGATATAATGTGTATATCTTTATGATATAGTTGTAAAATGTTAAACATATGTTAAAACCTATAAACATCTGAATGTTTTGATAGACAATGGGGTGTCCACTGCATCAAGCCATTTGAACAGAAAAAATGCCTTAGAGCCTATTCTTGCTTCCTCTGTGGTGTTTCCCTTTAAAAGAAAGGCTCTCCATGATGGCATCCCTCCCCACAGGCAGATAACGCTCAAGATGCTTTGTCTTAATCAGTTTGTCATGACTACTGTTCCTTGCAATTGCTTTTGGAAACATAACTGGAATCCTGAGTAGGAACAGGGAGTTTACTCAAAATTATGTTCTTGCATGTGTAGAAGATACAACAAAGATTAGAAGAGTTAAATTTTACCTATATTTCTCACAGTCTACAGCCGTTCCCGCATTTCGGAAAACGTAGAAAATGAGAAATAAACTAACTAAATAAGAACTAAACTTAGATGCTTTACAGAGAGTAATAATGCAAAGATTGGCCTTTTAACACTACGTATGTAGTGAGCAGAATGCAAAAAACTACAATACGTCTTCATATATCAGCGAGAACCAAGTTCTTGCCTTAAAGGCAGACATAAACTGGCTGAAAAGCATGTGCATGGTAAGGCAGCAAAAAGTCTGTCTATTTTGGCTAAAAGCCATATCTTAATGCTTATACAGTTTGCAACCTCATTTGTATAAACAATTCTACTCGCGCTTATTCTGGCCGGAAATGAAAAATAAGAGCAGAAAGCAAAGTTTTAAAATAAAACAAATTTTAGTAAAACTTAAAATTCTTATAAGCTAATCTAAGCTTACCTTGCCTAGCCTATCATGTATAGAACTATTTTATTCTCTGTTGATAAAAGTGCTTATTAATGTTCCTCCTACTTTTCTCTGAAGTAGAAACATTCAAATATCTATTAACGAAACAATAATGAAATGACTTACTTTTGCATTACTTGAAGATATCGTCAAATTTTATTAGCACTGTATTTTTTATTATTATTGTACTACTGTATTTTCCCATTTTATTGATGCTGTTTTATGAAATTTTTAAGATAATAAATTTAGTATACTCTTTTAATGCTCAGGAGAAAACTAAAACTATAACGTATGTTGTTTCAGAAAGAAGTATGCATTCCACAGACTTCAGTTGAAATATTGTATCATGCTATTCTTCCTAGCTTACCTCAGTATATGGTGAGTAATCATGCTTTGAATATAAAACAACTTTTCAAAAAAGTATTTTGAATGATGTATTAGTATGTATTCAGGATGAAATCTCTTTAATAATGTAACATGCATTTGTGTTAGTATTTATTGACTGTATTTGTGAAGATATGAAACATGGTGAACATTTTTGTTTGTATGTTAATTATATTTCTGGAGATCCTTGTAGCATTGTGAAATGATGAAATTTGAACCCAATTATAAATGAAAACAGTGCTGAACTTCTAAAGTTAGAAAACAAAATATTATTTTTCAAAATCACCAGAACCTAAAAGTGCAGAAAAGTAGTAGTTTATCTAAGGCTCTCTTACTTCCACTTGAAAAGCATGTGTATAAGGTTTATGTGATTTTCGTCATGTGTAATATTAATACGAGGCAAATTTCTTTTCAAAGATTTTCCACAAAGGCTTTCCTGCCTTTAAGCAGATAGCATTTGAAAGCTTTATCATAACTGATAATCAGCTATAGGATCAGTTCCTATCTAAACCACTTATTCAAAAGTTAACTCTTTTTAGGATTGTAAGAAATAGAAATTTCAAGTGCTCAGTATTGACCTGGAGCACTGGCTTTTGATGTCATCTGTCAGTTTCCAGTCCTGTTTCTTACGTCAATATAGTTGATATCAATATGCTCTGCCTTCTTTCAAAGCTTGTACATTGAGTTTTGAGACATCTTCTATAGCATATGCATTTTCTTTTATTCCCAGATTAAATGGTGTGATAATACTCAACTGTTACTCTTTTCCTATGTCATGAATTGATTGCAATGCCATAAAACAATGCACTGCTACTATATGAACACCCATCCTCAAACTACAAAAGTCACGTTCTTTGAATACAGTATACAGAAGAAAAGAATTTCTGACTTAAAGAATGTGATGTGTCATATTGTGATTATGGCTGAAAGTGTAAGGTGAAAGTTAAGGGTAGTTGTGTGCACTTGGGCACAATTATTTTACTTTTTTGAACAATCTGGAGCTCAAACATTTCTATTACAAAAGAAAAATATGACTGAAAGGACTATTCATCACCAACTACTTCAACAAAGACATCTTGAAAATAAATTTTATTGGCTTAAAACTAGTTGTAAGCAATTATATATATTCTTCACGTATGCTCTTTACAGTTTGACAGATTTTCAATCCAGCACATTGGAAATAATATGTTTGACATAAGCTGAAAATACAGTTTTTTTTAGCAAAGAGACAAGATGTCTCACTTTGAAATTCTTTTCATTATTTGTTAAGTCATTACTGCTAATACAGTTTTGGTTACCAACAGTACATCTGTGATTTTTTAATTTTGTACTTTGAAATATTTTTAAGTATGGAGTGGTAGCAGTATTATCTCAGGGCTACTTTTTCAAGGTCTGATCAATTGTATAATGAAATCCACAGTGAAAAATCAAAACTTGTTGGAATATTTAGATGCACCTTCCAGCTACTTCTCTACATAGATGCCACTCTGGCTGAGACGTTTGTTGTAATGTGGTACCAACTTTCCAGTACCCTTGTCATAATAGGCCAGTGCTTTCAGCCGATTATGCTATTCTGCAGCTCATTGTCTGAGCCAAATACTTGTCCTCCTAGCTAGTGTTTCATGTGAGCAAAGAGATTGTAATCATAGGGAGTTGGGTCTCGGCTATGGTGAGGGATCAAACATGATCCAAAATGCTGCAAGAGCATCTTTGTTGCAACTATACTGTGTGGCCACACATTGTCGTAAAGAAGAATAATTCCTGATGACAACATTCCGCTGCACTTATTTTGACTTGCCCTTCATAGATGTTCAAGAGTAGTGCTGTACGAGGCTGTAGTGGTGGTCATACCATGTTCCATGAATTCCACCAAGAGAATACCTTTTCGGTCCCAGAACACAGCAGCCATACACTTTAATGAGTATGCATTCACTGTTTTATTTCTTCAGTTTTGAAATGGTCCCATGTCTCATCCCCTGTGATAATTTTGTTCAAAATCTCACCTTCATCATGGTAGCACTGGAAAAACATGAAGCAGTACCCATTTGGTTGGACAGTATCGTTGGAACCTATCCCTGGCAGAGTTTGTGGCACTGAAGTCTCTCACTCAGAATGATATAGAGAGCTGATCCTGAAATTTTGGGAAATGAATCACTCAGTGCAGAAATTGTGAACCAACAATTTTCTCATATTACCTGATCCTCTCTCACTGAATAAGATTATAGGTTGACACTCATTTCCTTCCCTGCCCGTCTGCATCCTGCTTCAAAGTTCCTGCAGCATTGCTGCCCTTTGCTGTAACTCATGAAAGTTTCTGTACACATTACTCATTCGTTGATGAATTTCAGCTGCATTGCACCCCTATGCAGAAATCTAATGACAGCATGTACGTCACACTTGGCATGAAAGACTATTGTTTGAGCCATGTTTACGTGCTCACTGCAGGCACTCAACTGACAACTGAGACCTGATGTGTTGGACGGGCATACATACGAGAGACTATGTGCAGCACTTCTGCACACAGCATCGCTGGATTTTCATGAGAGTTTGCATTTCATGACTGATCGACCTTGGAAAGAAAAAAAGTCTTTTTAGCTTTTCAACAAAGCTCTCTCTTGGCACCAGTGCTACTTTTTCATATGAGCAAGGTTTTTTGCTGCATTCCACAGATTTCTTTATACCTTTATTTGAAGAGACTTAACAAATATTATTTTGGACGTAATTAACATATCACAATTTTCCAGATTGCTCTGCTGAAAATATTGCTTGCTGCAGCTCCAACTTCTAAAGCAAAAACAGAATCAATCAATATTATGGCTGATGTTTTACCTGAGGAAATGCCGTAAGTTGCTATTTCGTATGTTTTGTTGTCAGCTTCCTCGAAAAAATATAGCTTTTTGTGATTTGCTATGGGAGCTTATATCAAATTCCTATCTGCAAATTTATAAATTCTTTGTAATTCTTATGAAAACTGTCCCAATCTTATAATACTATGTATGAAATTAAATTTTTACAAATTTTTGAAATTTTTTTGTAAAAGCTGTAAAAATTGTGCTAGCTTGGCAGTTTTCCTCCAAATCTGTACTATTTGCTCGTAATCTTAGCTAACATTCTAGTTAGCATTTGAATATGCCCTGTTTATTATGTCAAAAGCAAGTGCTTTCTTCCGTTTGGGATATGTAATTTTTATTATGATTAATTTACATAAAAAAATTTTGATTGAGTGGTTTGCTGAATTTCAGAAACATAATGTTATTAAAATAACAGTAATATATTAATGTTAAGTATTAAAAAAACATTAAAGCAAAACATCCTTATTTTCATGTTCATCTATTAAAAGAAAAATCTTTTTTAATTTTGTTGATTTTTCGATTCTCAAATTTAAAAAAAATAATAACTATTGTGAAGCAAAGTTTTCGGTTACTTTTTAATAAAAGCAAAAATGCTATTGTAAATATATTAAAATTAATTTCATTTTTCTAATTTTCTACTTTTTATTAGAAGTGATTCTTCTCAACATAACTGTTTCGAGAAATATGTCTATTTTCTCTCTAAAAGTAATTTTATTTTTTTTTTCTAAACTTTTTAGGAGCATTCTTATTTTTACTCTCATAATGTTGGCAGTAAATTTATCAATTCATTTTTTATTTTATGCAAATTTTTTTTAGTGCTGTTAAGAATCTTCGTAGTCTTCTCCATTCAGCATAAAAGCATGTAAATGCTTATGTTGTTTAATGTACACTGCACAAAAAAAAAAAAAAAAAAAAAAAAAAAAAAAGAGACAGTTCTATATCTCCGGTCTACTGGGCCGATTGACAAAATTCAACTTGCGTTTTTCATGTCTCGAAAGCGCTACTTAGGATATGTATTAGATTTATATATAGCATTGTTCTAATATAGGTATTTTGACACAAAATCTGACTTTTTCTGAAATAACATATGAATTTTTTCCCTCATATTTCGATTCTACGACTCAAATTATGCCAAACTACCAAGTTTTGTAAAAATTGCACGAGTGGTTTTTAAAAAATTAGCTCTCAAAATTTTAGTTTCTCAATGTTAATTGAATTTGGTATATATTTATGAATATCTCTTTTTTATTAAACTTATTTGATTCTTCCTTTCACATTTCAAAATTTAGGTTCATTCCAAATAAAATTCATCCATTTTTTATGATTTATTTTTAAAATGTGTATTTTTAAATAATTTTTTTTAAGTTTTCAAAAACATTGTGAATTATAATCTAAAATTTTTATTATCATCTTAAAGTAGATGTATTTCTAAGCATACCTGCAAAAAATTACCATTTTGTATTCAAAATTTTCGAAGATATACATGAAAATATATATTGGCACATTTTGAAATTTGGCATATTTGTTGAAAGTGATAAAACATCAAATGTGGTTTAGACACTTTGCTAAAATTATTTGGAAATAGAAACTACGTAACTTTTCTCTGATCATGCACAATATAAAAAGGTAGGAACGAGGTGCCTTTTTTTCCACTCCGGCATAATGGAAGGGAAAGGAAAATTGGTTGCTGCATATTAAAAAGTTCGCCGAGTGAATTATTCTTGGCACAAACCAAAAAAATTGGGCCAAGATAAATTTTTTAATTTCTCTGTAAATTTCACACCAAATTTTACAAAATTTAATATCTAGGCATAACTTGAGTCGTAGAATCGAAATATAGAAAAAAATTCATATGTTATTTCAGAAAAGTCCGATTTTATGTCAAAATGCCTATGTTAGAACAGTGCTATATATAGTATATATCTAATATATATAATAAGTTGCGCTTTGGAGACATAAAAACCGCAATTTGAATTTTGTGAATCGGCCCAGTAGAACGGGAGATACAGAACTGTCCCCCTTTTCTTTTGGTGCAGCATACAACAAACATTTTGAGATTCATCTGTTTAATTAAATGGTTAATTTAAAAGTGGATATTAATAATTCTCCCTCAAATTGATGGAATGGCTACCTATTGAAAAGTGCATTCCATTGTATCTGAGTTGCGTTGAATATCTAAATATTTACTGCTCTTACATTCCATAACACGTCTTCATCAGGCACAATAGATTTATCCAATGTAGACTTTCAGTTGTAGGCGAATAAATACTCGATGAGCCAATCTAAAAGTTAAAAATCACCCGTTTCTCTGAAGTTGTGTTAAGAGATATAAGAAAATGTTACAAAGTCTGAGATGCAAAATAATCATGTCTTCAGCGATTTCCGGAATTTCAGGATTTTAAATCATCAGTTTAAATTTAGTAAGATAACATGTTTAAATTATAAAATTAAAAATACTCTGTTTTAATGTTTCTTTAAGAAATAAATATTATGCATAAAGAAATTTTTCTTTAAGTCATTATACTACATGGAACAAAACGTGATTCAAAGCCCAAATTTATATTTTTGATATTTTCTGGATTTAAAGCCATACTGCAGGTATTCCCCATTTGGTTAACTGATTCATTATTGACGTATTATTATTTCAATGTAAGACTTCAGTTATATCATCATCATATAGCATTTCCTTTTATATACCAGTAAAAGGAAACTTTTGCTTCTTACTTGCAATATTCATAGTTTTTATCATCAACAAAAATTTGTTGTCGGGCTTTATATTTAAGCCTAGGATTTTAAGAAATATCTGCAGACGTATTCTTTTATGATCTTGTAATGCCCAACACATCAGATTTTATATTAAAATACTTCTAGAATTCTTGGATGGTTTTACTGCTGCTATCTGCATTTCAGTGCACACAAAATTCTGATATCCATTGGCTGATTGACAGATTTACAGTTTCAGGAAAGTGTAAAATGAAGATGTTATTGTTTATTAAAACTGTAACTTTCATAACGGGCATTGTAGTAGGCAGAACAAATGATGTGCTGCTTTAAGGAAGAGTAAATTTTCTACGTTCACTGTGTTTAAGTTCTCCAGAGTCTTAATTCTTCCTCCCATTCCTGTTGTTGTATTGGGGGGGGGAAACAGCAACATTCCTCTCCAAATGAATATATCTTAGGGCCTCGTGTATTGTTTAAGTCAAATAGAAAAATGCTACTCCTCCTCTCCCACTTTATTGGCCCAGGTTATTCTTTAGACAGTACGTGTTTGAAAGTGATATGCAGCCACCTCAGTTAATAGGGGGGATCCCTTTTATAACTCATCAGTTTTTTTCTTTCTTGAGTATTATATACTATATTCCTAGACTTAATAACTTTTGGGGAAAGCTGGAATTTCACACTTTTTATTGTATCGCGTTTCATCAGTACTCATATGATATTTTTCATTATGCAACTAAGAAATATATTCTCTTGAAAAGTCATCAGCTTTTATTAACTACTTATATATGTGCAAAGTAAAAAGTTATTTCTTAAACACTCATTAAGAAACCAAAAAGGAACAAATAACATATGAAATCACACTACAGAAAAGTTAATGTAATTTAAAATTTTGTATTAAAACTAAAAAGGTAATTAAAACTGATGTTGAAATGGTAAATTAAAGGATGATTATAAGTTTGCTTGAACTAAGCTTCTTATCAATGAAATAAACTTGTTTCCATTATTTTACTGGCTATTTTTCTGATACTGTCTCCAAATGAATTTGAACCAAAATTAGTAATGATTAACATAATTAAATGTAAAATCATAGGTGATCAATAATTTAAATTCATCTAGTAAAAACACTATCCATGAAATGGCCCGTTTCTTTTCAAACCAAAAAGAAAGAAATGTATATAAAACTTGGGTATTTGTTACTGTAAAACTTGGATTGTTTACATAATCTTTTTTAATTGAAAAAGGGAAGATTTTATTTAAACTACATTAAACATGTCATTGTTAGTAAAATACAAGGAAGTGTGTCGTTACCATGGCCATCTAGTCTGAAGTATCAATGTGATGTTGAGTTCACTAATAAACTGTTTTGAAAAGTTATGTTATTTTCTGGTATTAAGTGTCATTCCTAAAGTTAGATAGATGTACTGTTGATTTATTGGTATTTGTATGAAAGATATAACTACGTGAGAGTGGAGGGAGTTCTTGCATATGTTAAATTTAAGTGAATGGAATAACTTTGTTTCTAGTGCCAAAAAGCTGCCAATATATTACATTGTATTTTATATAGCTAATTAATGAAATTATATAGAATTTACATTAGCTCAACTTATTAGTTATTAATTTATGTGTCAATGTATGCTTCTTAATATTATCTAATAAAAATCTTTAATGCATGGAAACCTAATCCAATTAATGTAGGCACAAATTTAATCATTAGTTTTTTTTCACTCTGCTGGCAAAACAGTAAAAAGGCATACTGGTCATAGTGATGGACATAATTTTACAAAAATGTCATCAAAATACTTCTAATTTACTACTTAAAATTTAAATCTAATTTTCATTATTTAACTGTGCTACAATCCATATACATATATATTCATACTTGCCAACCTATGACACTCAAAAATCAGGAGATTTTTCACAATGTTAAAAAGTGATGAAAATATAGTTTTTAATAATGAATTAACTTTAAATAGTAACTAATTCTTAAATGCAAGCAACACAAAAATACCTTACACATAAAAAACATTTTTATTGCATCGTTTAAGAAAACGAAAAAAAAAAAACTTTAATCAGTTTTCGCACAAATGTAATAAACAGTAGCAGATTTTGCTTTCTTTAAGAAAGAAACTTCATAATTTTGTTCATAGCAATTGTCATGTAGGCCTGCTTTCGCTAATAAAAGTTTTTCTAATGTGTCATCACTAATTTAAGATCTAAATTTAGTCCTCGTTTTCGCAACAACACTGAAAATCCTCTCACACTCTGCATT